GTTTGTTCGGGTAGCGCCGACCCTTGGTCTTCCTCGGGCTTCCTGGAGTCAGCTGCTGGCCAGTTTCAGCAGCGGCTGAATCGGGGACAGCTGAGGTGCTGCCGGGTTGGGTCCCGCAGCCCCGAGGAGCAGTGCTACGGGACCAACCCGGCAGCACTCCAGCTGCTCTTCCCTAGGCGTCCCCGATTCAGCCGCTGGTCAGTTTTAGCAGCAGCTGAATCGGAGAAGCTCCAATGGTCCGGATGCCCGGAGCACTTCCGGGTTCCTGATGGTGCCGGACCATCAGGAGTGCCGGACCATCAGATGCCGGACCATCGGAGTTTTACTGTATAATGACTGAAATAAACATTTAGGGCCTGTTTCTGCAAGATGCTGAGGAACCATAAATATTGGATTTAAAGGTCCTCTGCACAGAATCAGATTCTATGATGTAGAGTGGAAGGGTGTATGGGGAGTGAAAGCAAAGTTCCTCTAAACTGAACAAGGAAACTGCTACTGGATATTGATTAACATATCATATGTCCTCTGTACTACCTGGCTAACTTGAAAGACTTGGATCTTTACAGTGCAACCAAATATGCCAGCTTTAATCCTGTCTGGAGCTGGAGATACAGAAACTAATTTGGATAGTGAGAATGAAGAAGATAAAGATAATTTTGAAAATGAAAAGAAGCCTAATCTACATCAAATAGGTAAGTAAAACAACTTTCAGTGTGTTGTCTCCTACATATCTACTGACTTCTTGAAATTTATTTCTTTAACCTAATTTTCATAATGATGGACGGTTGTTGGCTTTCTTTACCTTGCACAGTTTTAATTTTCTGATTTTTTTTCATTGCTTTTTTTATTTAACTGAAACCAAATTCTAAAAAATGCATATAGTTTGTGTTCTCACTGATCTGGAAGGGTATGTCTACACAGCAAAGAAATTTCGAAATAACAGGTGTTATTTCAAAGTAACTTTACTAGTGTCTACGCAGCCAAACTGCTATTTCGAAATTAAATCAAAATAGCAGAGTACTTTTTTCTAATTTGGTATACCTCATTCTATGAGGAATAACGCCAAATTTGAAGTAGCTAATTTGAAATAAGTGCTGTGTAGACACTTATTTCAAAATAGGGGACCTCCAGCCTTCTCAGGTTCCCTGGTGACCACTCTCTCTCCCTCTCCCCCGCCCTTCTGGAGCCCTTAAAGGGGTAGACTCTGGCCACAGCGCCTCTGCCAGCTCCAAGCCTGCCAGCCCAGAGCCAGCAGTCACTGTCCTGACCCAGTGGCCCCAAAACATGATACAGCAAGCCACTGGCAGCCAGCCCTCCACCGCTCCTCAGGAGCAGTCTGTCAGCTCCCAGGAGCCTGCCAGGACCCGGAGAAGGCAGGCGCCTTCCTGGTCCAGGGCAGAGATCATGGACCTTATTCAGGTTTGGGGGAGATGCCCCCAATATCCATGATCTCCGCTCTAGACAGAGGAACGCAGCCGTCTATGGCAGGATGACTGCCAGCCTGGCCACCAAAGGCCACATGTGAACCCAAGAGTGGGTTTGCATGAAAATCAAGTTGGTCCGGTGAGACCCTGAGCTTCCCCTCCCGCTTTTTCCCCTTCCTTCCCCCTTCCAGCTCCCTCTTCCCTGTTTTCCCTCTCCCCTCTCTCCTGCCTTCTTTCCCCAGTCTCACCAGAGTTTCATTTCCTCTACCCCCCCCCCCTCGTTTTGTTAAATAAAGAGAGTTTGTGTTTATGAAAATACGTGTATTTTATTTGACATCAGGAATGGGGATTAGGGAGGGGTAAGTGGAAGGACGTGAGGGAGGAATGAAGCAGAAGCCCTCAGTGAGGCAGACCAGGGAGGTTGTTAGTGCTCCTCGGGGTGGAAGCTCTCCCGCAGGGCCTCCTGGATCCTGACAGCCCACTGATGGACCTCCCAGATAGCAGCCTGCAGCAAGTGCAGCCAGGCTTGCAGCAACGTCTCCTTGAGAAGCACCTGTGTACCCAGGGGCACCTCTGGCTCCATGTTGCAGAGTGCTGTGGTGTCCTGAGTGAGGGCAACCAGAGCACGCAGAGACAAAACTGCTTTGCTGTCCCTCATAGAGATACGGAAGCAAGCAGGGAAACCTGAGAACTGGCTGTCCGGGGGGGAAGGGTGGTCCCTTTAAGCACAGACCTCAGATACCGTGTGTGGCTGCTGCCTGAGTCTAACTCCTGACCTTAAATGCGATTCAGAGTCCACTCAGTGTGGACGCGCTATTCGAAATAGCAAAACGCTATTTCGAAATAAGATATTTTCAGATAACATTGTAGTGTAGACGACAAAGCCAAAGCTCTGTGATAGGGCTTCTGATCTTTAGATATGTTGAGCATCTTTCCGGATGCAGATGTAATAGTGTACAATCTGTGGATGTGAAAGCTTCCATGTTTATCATATCAATGTGTCTCTGCCCTGTCTAGGATTATGTGTTTTTCGGGATGAGTTTAGACTCCAGAAGCATTTAGTTCTTGAGCAAGTAGATCAGGGTAACAGCTGTACTTGTTTTTTTTGGTTTGTGGATTCCTGCCCACTCTGAATTGGAAGACTGCACTATCTCATTTCTGACCAGCCACTGATGTACAGTGGCAGTTAGTTTTTTGTCATTGTTAACCTTGGCCAAATTCGAATGGTGACCAAGAGCTTAATGATATTTCCAGTCTAGTTAAAAAGAGAGTGATAGTTGAAGAACAAAAATCACTCTCTGGGCAAGGGACATGGATTGCTACAGGGATCTTTAAACAAGCAGACAAAGGTACAATGTGACCATGTGGCTGGAATGTAAAGCTAGATAATTATTAAACTACAGATAAGGCATTTGTGGGATGTTTTGTTAACAGGAGTATTAGAGCCCTGCACAGATACAAAATTTGTATCCTCATCCTTATCCACAAAAATGAGCTACAGATTTGCAGGGCTCTAAGCATAATCGATAATTGGAACAATTACCAATGGATGGGCAGGATTCTGTATTAGTTGAAGTCTTTTAAAATCAAAATGGCTTGTCTTTTTGAAAGAGATGTTCTTATTTCGCTGAAACTATTAGTCTCCATGCAGGAATTCCTGGGTGAAATAAGAACATCTTAAAATCCATTACGTGATTTTAAATCACAGGATCTTCTTCCTCAAAATCCCTGTGTTTGTGGTAAATGTAATTCCATTTTAAAGACAACCTGGAAATAGAGAAGAAAACTATCAATTCAGATATTCAACACTGAATATCCTCAAATCATATGATGCTGGTGTGGCTATTTAGGTCCAAAATTAATCAATACATTGATTAGTGTTTGACTTGAAACTATTTTTTAAAAACAATTTTTTTTTGCGTTCAAGTGATGTTTACATGCATGATTAAAGTGTGAATTAAAAGGGAACATTGCTCGGATTCACAGGAAAAAAACGGTAAAATCAGTAGATTTCATCTGAGGTTCTAAGTAATACCTGTTAATGATCAGGTGCTCAGAATTTTTTTTAAATGTCTTTGAATCTAAAATAGTATGCAAAACACCAAGCAGAGACTGTAATGGCTGAACATTTTCTGCTGATCAGTTACTAAGTATTATTCTTGGTTCTTTTTTAACTTTCTCAGCCCCTCTACTCCCCTGCCTTCCCTTTAGAGTTGCCAGGTGTCTGGTTTTGAACCAGACAGTCCGGTATTTGAACTTTCTGTCCAGGAAACAAATAGAGAAAATATTGGACATATAAATATCCGGTATTTTATAATTAAGTAAGTTTTGCGTGTCTACCAGCCAGGCAGTACGCAACTACACAAGGGGGGTGGGTGGGAAATCCCTGGGGCCGGACTCACCTGTGTGCCCCGCTGGGACTGTGCGCAGGATGGGCAGCACCCTGGGATCTGCATGTGCCTGGGCCAGCCCTGCTCCCCGCCTGCCAGTTTCCTCTCCCCCACTCCTCCCAACTCCCTCCCGGCCAGTCCTGCTTCCTGCCGGCCGGTTCCTTCCCCCACTCCCCGCCGGCCCGTTCCTTCCCCCGATCTCCCCCAGCCAGCCCCGCTCCCCCTGACCCCCTCCCAGCCAGCCCTGCTCCCCTCCCGCTCCCCCGCCTGCCTCCCGGCCAGCCCTACATCTCGCCGACCGGTTCCATCCCCCGATTTCCCTCAGCCAGCCCCGCTCCCTCCTCCTGGCCGCCCTCCCCATCTGAGATCAAGTGTGTCTGGTATTTTTTTTGAAATCATCTGGTAACCCTACTTCCCTTCCATCTTGAGTCAGTAGAGTGTTGTGTGGGTACAGAGTTTGCCCGTGAACAGCTCATTGCAAGATTTGGGCCTAAAGTAAGAGGTCATGTAGCATGCAATGTGAAATGAAGGTCTAAAAACAAATGTTAAATGGATTTCCTTTTGGTTAGTAATGTAAGTCTTAAGGGGTTTGAAATCATCTGGTAACCCTACTTCCCTTCCATCTTGAGTCAGTAGAGTGTTGTGTGGGTACAGAGTTTGCCCGTGAACAGCTCATTGCAAGATTTGGGCCTAAAGTAAGAGGTCATGTAGCATGCAATGTGAAATGAAGGTCTAAAAACAAATGTTAAATGGATTTCCTTTTGGTTAGTAATGTAAGTCTTAAGGGGTTTGT